CAGCTCCAGAGCTGGCCCTGGGAGGGTTTTGTGCCTCGTGACGGGCAGGGAAGTGTCCTCTCGGGTCTCGGTGTTTCCAGCAGGAGTCTGCACATCCTAGATAGTGGTGCAAGGCAGTACTTCAAATTTTTAATTTTTTTGAGTAGGTGGTTTCTTAAGCTCATTTCTATTTTGTCTTTTATTGTTACTATAAGTGGTGCCCCCCATTTTAATTTCAGTTCGGACTGTTGGTACAAGCATACAGTTACACTGACAAAAGAAATATACCAAGAAATCCCACTGTCATCCTTCTTCTTATCCACTCATTTTTCTCTGCTGTCTTTCTAGGTAACCAATTTAAAATTAAATACTGGTTTTATTTATTGAGTATTTCTTTAAGGAAATACTGGAAAATGTAAAACATGTGAAAAAAGTGGCATACTCTAGGTCCTGTTCTACACCTTGCTTTTCTCACTTGCTGTATATTCCTTCCAGGTTTCCACAGAGATTTTTTTAAATTCTCGCACTGCTCCTGTGTATTCCATGGTGTGCCCTGGTTGATGTAAGCAGCTCCCTGTTGGTAGATGCTGGGTGGCCTCCAGTCTTCTGATACTGCATGTGGCTGCAGTAAATGTCCACGTGCACTGGTGCGTTCAGAGAATGAACTCCCTGGGTGAAATCTGTGGGTCAAAGTGTGTGTTAGCTTTCTGGCACGATAATACATACCTGAGATGATCAACTTAGAAAAGGTTGGCTTTATCCGGGGTCACAGTTTTGGCAGTTCCAGTACTCAGCTGGTGGACCCTGTTGATGTTAGGCCTGTGGCGTGACAGCCCATAGCAGCGGGAGGGTGTGGTGAAGCAAAGTGAAAGGGCGGAGGCGGAGGCGGCGGCGGCGGCGGCGGCGGCGGGATCCCCCAGGGACTTCCAGGGCACAGCCTGCCCTCACGTTCTCCCTGCAGGCTCCACCACCTCCCACTGGCACCTCAGCTGGTGGCCGTGCCTCCAACACATGGCCTGTGGGCGATGTTGAAGATCCACGGGGCATGAAGTGAAATTGTATATTTAAAGCTGTGTTGGGGTAGCATTCCTCACCCATCAGATCAGCAGAAATATAGAAGCAGGGTGACTTATTTTGTTGGTGAACCAGTGGAGAACTGTTATAAAACCCCTAATGGAGGGAAGTCTGGCAACATCAACAAGGTTAATTTGTTCTTCCCCATGGGTGAGATGAGTACTTTAAGGGCTGGGGTTGTGGCTCAGCCGTAGAGCGCGCGCCTGGCACGTGTAAGACCCTGGGTTCGATCCTCAGCATCACATAAAAATAAATAAAATAAAGGTATTGTGTCCAACTGTTACCACTGTGTACCCGGTGACGAGTCCTTGCTTCCCGATGGTGAAGTATAACACCAGAGAAGCACGCCAAGGCAAGTTTAGAGTGGAAAGTAGAAGCTTTATTAAGGACAGCAGAAAAGACTTCTCCCAGAGGAAGAAGGGGACCCAAGAGGTAGAATCCGTGGAAGGCGGGAGGTCTTCCCTCTTTTATAGCTAAGGTCTTCATTCTGCTTTCCCGCATTCCTGTAGGTGTTCCTGTCCTTGTCCTACCTTGCAGTGTAGGTGGGGAAAGCCCAAAGGGTGGGGGACAGGTGGGCAGTAATCTGGGCAGGAAGGACTTTTGGATTAGCATCTCCATGTTTGCTGGGAGCTGCTTCAATTAACATTTCCTTGGGATGGGCTCTGGGCCTTAGGGACATTTTCAATTCCCCTTTCCCTGGACTCCATTCTCAATATGGCCTTCATTCTTGATTTTACTTGATATTAGACCCGATTTACCTAACTACACTAAGTACCTATTTTTAAATCAGGCTTCACAACTACCACTAAAAATTTTTAAAAGATTCATCTGTAGTTTAATATGACTGTTCTTCTACCCATTTTTCGGTTGTCAGTCTTCTTGAATTCTAGAGGTTCTTATGTAGTAGAAGGATTAATTAATCCTTTGGAAATGAGTTGCAGATATGCTTTATAACTTACATTTTATAGTAAGGCTCGTGATTTTTGTAGTCACTTGGAGCCTGGCAGGAAGAAGAAAGTGAGGGGAGGCAGGCAGAATCGGAGATGTGGACAATAGGGAAGGAGGAGTGCAGGTTGCATGCTCCTGCCCCGTAGAAGAGGAGCTGTTTCCTCGTGTGGGGTGTGCACCTGTGGTTAGGGAGCACAGGGAAGACTGGTATCTACTCGTGATTCACCTTGTCTGTAACTTTTTGAAATTTTTTTTGAGTTTAATTGTGGTTGGCGGTGTCTGCTAGATATATAGTGGGAGGTTATCTACTGACCAGGAACTCTGTGGAAACATTTCTTAAAGTGTGTAGTTGACGTTGGAAAAGGCAGTGTAGGAAAATGGACCACACAAGAAGAGACAGATGGGCATATGAGGTTGAGGGCAGCATCTGGATTGGTTTGGATACAGCAGTAGTGAACTAGAGGAGAGAAGTGAGAAAACAGGGGGAAGCCAAAAATAAGGAGAAGCAAAAGAGGGGAGGGAGGTGACAGAGAGGCAGTGAGGTTTTCAGTGCTGACAGCTCCTGGTTTTACTCCGCTTTACCTTCTCCAGGCTGAGTGCTCTGTTGTTGTTTTCTTGTGACATGTTATGCCTATTCCATGTTAGGCTTATTAAATCCTTTAGTTCTCCAAAATTATTCTCACTTCTGATTTTAAAGAATGCTCGTCAGTTGTCTTAATAAGTTTTAATTCAATGTTTTAAATAAAGCTAACTGGTTATATTTTTCCACGTGTGTCTTATAGTCCTTTATGATGCTGTAACAGAACACCAGAGACTAGGAAATTTATAGAGCAGAAAAATATTTTCTCACTATTTTGGAGGCCAGGCAGTCCAAGATCAAGGCTGGGAGGCTAGGGCCTGGCCTGTCTGCTTCCAAGATGGTGCCTTGAACACTTTGTCCTGTGGAGGGAGGGTGTTGTGTCTTTACATGGCAGGGCAGCAGGAGAGGGTGAACTTGCTCCCACGGGCCCTTTATGGTGGCATTAGGCCCCACCTCCCAGCTGACATTTAGGATTAAATTCCAACCTGAATTTTAGAAAAGACAAACGTTCAAACCTAGGGGTGAGTAAGTGTGCGGTGATGTCTGAAAGTGTTGGGGTGGGTGTCCATCTCTTCATTTTTTACTTATTTCACATTTGGTTTCACCAAACTATAAATTCCTAAACACAGGGCTTAGGAATTCTGTATTTGGGGACTGGTTGGATTTAGCTGGACTTTTTAAATTTTAAGCAGGATTCTTAAGGAACAGTGACACAACAGCAGGTTCCTCTGCCACCCTGGAGCTTGGCGCAGTTAGCATACTGGGCTCCTTTCCAGGGGAAGCTCACTTCCTTCCGCGGAGCACCCTGTGCATTTATCTCCTAGCTGCCCTCTCTGCACGGAGGACTGAGGTTGATGTGACATGTTTTTAAAAAATATCCCACAACATGACAAACAGAATTCTATCTACTTTGCAGCTGTGTGAGAAAAATACCTCCACGTGGTTTCTTTGTCCTTTGTCCTGACCCGAGTTGACTGCAGAGCTGGCAGGGTTTGCTCCCTTGCCTCTGCCCCTCAGCCCCTTCCTGGCCTGTCAGTGACAGAGAAAAAAGAACTGATGGCATTTCTTAACCGACAGACTCCTCTACCATTTGTTTTGCTCCAACATTTTATAAGGAAAATTTTCAAATGTGTAGAAAAGTTGGAATAATTTTCCACGAAATACCATAAATCCACTATCTAGATTCCGGACATTTTGCATTTATGATGCCTGCTTTATCACATGTCCACCCATCAGTCTATCTTGTTATTTTCTTCTTTATTTCAAAGGAGGGATTTTTTTCCTCCAATCTTTGTCACTGGTGGCGAGTCCTTCATCCCCATTAAAAGAATTTCAAGCACAGTCAGGCACTTACGGAGAGGGCTGAGGTGAGCAGAAGGGCCTGGCCTGTTCCTGCCCTGTGGTGGGTGTCGAGCAAGTGAGCCCCGTCCTGTTAGGTAACTGAATTTGCCCGTGGGAACCAGTTGCTTTTAAGGCAGCCCTGTGTTTCCTAGGGACATGCCGTCCCCAGTTGATGAGATGCCTTGTGGAAGAGAGTCCATGGGGTATAATTATTAAGATGGGAAGTGGGCCAAGTCTGCCTTATAGACATTGTAAGGCTGTCTAGAGGACACTCTGTGTACACGCATGTGCACTTTTTATCATGGGGGTTTTCTGTCGTGAAGCCGTGCCTGGCAGTGTCCCCGCAAGCATGCCCTCCTGGCCCGCCGTCCCCAGGCTCCTCTGGAGGAAGAGCCTGAAGAACAGGCCCTCCTCTCCTCAGCCACAGCAGCTTCCTCTTGGTCTGTCTTATTTGAAATGGAGATTTCATTTCGGGGAGAAGTTGTCGAACTGCAGCTTTCTTTGCCTGACCCACTCGGCCCTGTAGGGCACGGTGCGGTGGCGAGTGGTGTAGCAGAATGTCTGTTACACGGAGCTTATGGGTCTGAGTTAGGGCCACAAGATTCTGCATTGTCGGGTTTATCCCAGTGGCTGGCTCCAGATGTGGCTAGTGAGAGTTTTAACAGTAAGGGATTCTTCTAAAGATGGAGGAGTCTGACATCCCTTGCCTCGGTTCCTGAGAGCGAGCTGTCCCAGAATCAGCAGCATCTGTATTTCAACTTCATGCATGGTTTTTAATTTTAATGAAACAGGTGTATTTAGAGTTCTTTTTGTAGGGTTGATCGCTAATGCAGTGTGGGTAGCTGCTGAAAACTGTCCCCCTTCCAGAACATGAGGGACTGTCTCACCATTGGTGTTACCTGTCCCCAGTACAGCTGACAAACCATTCTGGTAATGGGTCTTCCCTTTTACAGTCAGCCCCGGCCCCCTTTCTGTTCATACCAGTCTGTTTACAAAGTGGACAGTAATGGTGGTTTGGGTTTTACTGTTGGGTCTACATTCACCTGAAATTTTTTCTTCTCTTCCATACCCCCAATAGGCTCGGGTTATGTATGATTTTGCTGCTGAACCTGGGAATAATGAACTGACGGTTAATGAAGGAGAAATCATCACTATTACAAATCCGGTAAGAGAACATTTGGTTATTCCTTGTTTTTGTTTTTTTGTATAGGACATTGAGCCCAGGGATGCTCTACCTTAAGTTGCTGAAACTGGCCTTGAACTTGTGATCATCCTCCCTCAGCCTCCCAAGTTTCTGGGAGGCTTGCACTGCCATGCTCATTTTTTGGACTTATTTTTAAGGTTTAATTTTTTTTGCTAAGTTGATCATTCATACTCACATTAATTCTTTTCTGTTGCTTAAATTTTTTTTCTGTTGATGAAGTAGTAAGAGGCTATTACATAAACACTGAGAAAAGCTTCCTAGAGATAGCTGGGGAAATGATTGAGTTTATTAGATCTCTGTTTCATAATTGTTTTCTTTGTTATTGATAACCTTTCAAGCACCCTCTGTTGTTGTGGAGCTTAGTTCAGTCTGCTTTCCCCTCATGGTGCTGTGTCTTTAGAATGCAGGAGAGGTGGTGCTGACCTTCCTCACAGCTCTGCTTACTGAGCGCTGTTGTTGTTCTGAGCTCCATCCCTAAAGTAGATTGCCAGAGGGCAGTATGTGCTAGCAAAGCATCAGCCTTGCTCCCAGCGAGTTCTCTCTGCTTAGTTATGTTACTGCTTCAGCTTTTATTCAGTGAAGAAATGGCTATATGTATAACAAGGATTTCTGCATCTTCACAGAACTGTTTGCACATGTGTACATAGATACACATGCATGCATCTTCACATGCTCAGGTATGTACCCACACACATTAACACGTGTCCTCACACGTGTTTGTATCTCTTCTCACTTAGCTAGGTGTATTTCCACCCTCTCTGATAAGCAGCCATGTGATCTTTTATCTCAGATTCAGCATTCTTCCTTTCACAAAATGAAATCTTTATTGACAATTGAATTTCTTTTATGATTTTTATTGCTGAGTAGTGCAGAGGCAAAAATAATACTCATTTTTTTCAATCATCTTGGGTCCAGATCCTGTTAAAGTGTTTTCTACTACCTCTGTGTGATATGTGCCTCAGTCTACTTAATTTTTCATTTTATTTTATTCTGATTTTTTTTTCAGTACTGAGGATTGAACCCAGGGGTGCCCTACTACTGAGCTATAGTACCCCAGCCCTTTTTTTTTTTTGAGGCAGGGTCTTACTAAGTTGTCCAGGCTGATCTTGAATTTATAATCCTCCTGCCTCAGCCTTTTGATTAATTGTCCTTTTTACGTGTAAACCTTCTTACAGAGTATAGTAAAATTATGAGATGAACATAATTGAACATAATTTTTGTAGGGTTGATCTCTAATGCAGTGTGGGCAGCTGCTGAAAACTGTCCATGTAGTAAAATTTTAAGAAAAATTGTCTCAATTACTAGTATTTCATCTGGGTATATGCAGCTAGAGAAGGACCAAAAGCAGGCATGGGGAGTCGGTCTTTACAGTTGTAAAATCAGCAAAACTTTGTTGTTACTCTTTCTTTACCTCTTCCTACTCATCCCCAACACCACTGAGAGTGCCTAACTCTGACACCGCTCTGTGCACACCTCTGGCCTGTGCTTCTGGCAGATGTCCTCCCTAGTCCCTGCCACTGTCTCTGGGTTCCACGCTGTATGTTCTGCTTCTCTGACCATGCACTTGCTCAGTTACCCACACGGAGTACAGGGGTAGTCTTGTGGAAGTCTTGGAAGCCTTGCCCTTGCTCTGGGCTCCTCACTTTTCAGAGAGGTCTGCATTGGTTTTTCTTACTGATCGCCTCTAGCACAGGCTGCTGATCCTATCTGATGCCCTGTGCCACTCTCCTCTTGTGTACATAGATATACATGCATGCATCTTCACATGCTTTTATGATCCGCTCTTCCTTCTGCCTCGTGATGTAGGTATTCACATCTTTGGCCCATTTTCCTCATGTTACACATTTTCAGAATTGTTTATTGCCTCCTGTGTACTAAATTCCTGGTATCTGCAGCTTGGCCAGGCTGCTGAAGCTCCCACTTGGCTGTCCAGCAGAGTCCTAGGCATCTTTATGACGCTTTTTCATAAGCCCTTCAAACATCCTGTGGTGTGGGATCTGCAGGCTCACCACACATGCTGAGCCAGTCCTCTTCCTGAAGTCTCTTTTTTTCTAATGTGGAATGCACCCATTCATTCTCCTCAGCTACAGCTGTACATCACAGAAAGACGCTGGCCTTACACTTGCTCACATCTAGCCTTTCCCCTCTCTGTCTCTACTGTCACTGCCTTGAGTGAAGCCCTCCCCTTGGTGCCTGGACTGGGTGCCTTCCTGGCTGGCCCTTCTCCCCCTATGGCCTGTTCAAACTGCCAGCTGTAGGTCTACAAGACACCTGCCATCTGGCCCCATCCTTCCTCTCCAGCTTTCCAACATATGCACACCCTCTCTTACGCATGCACAGGCATGTGCACCCCGTACATAGCCACACACTTACATCCTCACTCATAAACACACTTGCACCACCACACACTCTTACAGACTTGTACCAACACACTCTCACACTTAGTGTCTACAGACATTTACAAATGCACATTTACAGGTTCACAGTCACATTCTCACACTTGGTCTCTTACAAGCACGCACACACTTATGCGCACGCTCTCACAAGCACACAGACCCGTTTGTTGTGACTGCACTCTTGCTCGTGTCGTTGCCCTGCCTGGCATGCCTCCTCACAGATGTTCCACCCCGATGTGTCTGTGTCTTAAAACACAATAGAAAATCCTATCCATGGTTTTAAAGGATGTCTTCTCCAGAAGGAGTGGAATCCTTGGGGCCATCACTGAGTACTCTGTGAGGCCCTGTGAGACTGCCTGCCCTGTCCTGCTGTACCCACTGTGTGTGTGTGGCTGCTTCCCACATGAACCAAGGAGTTCCTTGAGGCTGGAAACCAGGTTCTTCTGTTTCCTTGCCCTTTGTAGGCTAGACTATGTGTACTGTCTGGCCTGCAGTAGGCACATTATTTTCATTTTTAAATTATTTTATAAAATTTCAAATACATATTGGGAGAGAGAATATATTAACCATATCTTTGTCCCCATCGTCCCATTATCCAGTTTCAGTAATTATCAGCCCACCGTGGTCAGTCTCATGTCATCTCTACTCCTGATTATCCCTCTAGCTTCCCTCTCCTGACCCCTTGCATCAAAGGTGTACAGATTCAAAAGCATTCAGTGTCATTTTTGAAGCAGATTTCATTGTATCATTTCATGCATAAAGATTTCAAGCATGGCACAGTGGTGCTTTTCTGTAGTTCCGGACACTTGGGAGGCCGAGGCAGGAGGTTTGCTTGAGCCCAGTAATTTGAGGCCTGCCTGGACAACATACCAAGATCCTGGCTTACAATACAAAACCAAACAAAATATTTCAATATGTATCTCTGAGAAATGGAGCTGGTTTTAGACATAATGACAATACCATTCTATCCCACCCAACAAAATTATTGATTTCCTGGCCATGGCGTATGCCTGTAATCCCAGTGGCTCAGGAAGCTGAGACAGGAAGATCGTGAGTCCAAAGCCATCCTCAGCAATAGCGAGGTGCTAAGCAACTCAGTGAGACCCTGTCTCTAAATAAAATTCAAAAAATAGGGCTGGGGATGTGGCTCAGCAGTTGAGTGCACCTGAGTTCAATCCCCAGTATCCCCCCCCAAAAAAGATAATCAGTTTCCTAATATTATCAAATAACCCATTAGCCCAATATCCATAGCCACATAAAACTTTGCTGATTTGAAAATTGAGCTTAAAAACTCACTAGAGTGTTAATGTTAGTAAACAGTATTAGATACACTCAACCTCGAGTTTGATAGGTTAGTGCAGAAGATCACGTTTTCTGTGATCTTTCCTGGGCTTATCCTTTGGGAATACATGTCCTAGAAAATGTGTTCAGCATCCTTTTATTCCATAAACTAAAGCATTGTAGATTTGAAGTTCATCCAAAATATTATTTTTCATTCAGTAATTTCACTGGGCTCCTTCCTACTGTGCATGAGACTGTGTACCAGGTACCCTGAAGAGTAAACCTCAAGACAGTCAGACCTCCTTCTCCGTAGGAACTTGTGATAGAAGAGGAATTCAAGGAGATCTACCTCAGGGTGCAGAGTTATTGGCCAGTTGCTGTTGGCAGCTCAGCAGAGGAGGAGGCTATTTCTATTTGTTTTAACCAGAATGAGCTTTGATGCAAAAGGAAATCTGACTAGGTGATCTTGAAGCTCTATTGAGGTTTCTTCAGACAGGACTGCCAAGACATCCCAGACAGAGTAGTTGCATCAAAGGTGTACAGATTCAAAAGCATTCAGTGTTTTTTTGTTGTTGTTTTAGCCATCTCAATTATCATTTGTTAACAGTTTAGAGCCAGGTGTTTGGCAAGTGCAATGTACGTAATCTTGAATGTGTTTTGCCATGAAGTCCCCAAGGTGGGCATGGGATGCTCAGATTAGGTAACTTGCCCGTGATCACTCTGCTTGTAAGTGACTGAAGAAGAGTCAAAGTTACATCTGTTCATCTTTGAAGCCTGTCCTTTTTTTGTCTGCTCTGTGGCCTGTTACGTGTAAACAGGTGTCCTAGAGCACAGGTGTGTATAAGCTGGTAGGAAATAGACTAAGAAAACTGTTTTTCAAAACTATCAGACCCCTCTGGGAGCCAGGCTATCGACTATGGGCTTCGTCTAGTGAGCTGTGCCTTCCTTGGAGGCTAGTGGTGGCTTTCGTTGTTATTGTTGTAGAGGAGGCTGGAGTCTCAGGATGTGATTTTGAGTTATGGCAATAGGAGGTGAAAGATGGAGGAGAAAGCTTGGAGCGCCAGGCCTGTGGGACGCAGTGCTTAAGCAGAGGAAAAAGGCAAGGGTTGCTGAGGCGCTCGGCCTTTGCACCTGAGAATGGCAGCTGCGTTAAAGGATGTTGGTCAGGTATGTCCAAGAATGTTAACTTTGGACATGCCAGGTGGGAAGAGCAGTGAACTGCCAGTCCTGCCCTGCAGGGTGGCGGCCGTTGAAACCTGGTGGTGCAGAGCTGGAGAGCAGGCTGGAGCAAGGTGCCAGGAAAGCTGAGGGTGCTGTTGGGAGAAGGGAAGGAGCAGACACAGGCGCGTCCCCAGATGCAGAGTGAGGACTGGCAGCACTAAGGTCAGGGAAGGACAAGGCAGTTGGCAGAGGTGATGGTAGGGTCTTCATAGTGACAGTATTTTAAGGACCTATTTTTATTGCCTTAGATGCAAAAAAGAATTACTGGGTAGAACCAAGTACATGTACTAATTTTGGATGATTTGTTAGGTATATATTAGCAAATAGGTTCCATTTTCTTTTTTTTTTAATATTTTTTTTAGTTGTTGATAGATTTTATTTCTTTATACGAGTGCTGAGAATCAAACCCAGTGCCTCACACATGCCAGGCAAGTGCCCTACCTCTGAGCCCCAGCCCCAGCCCTAGGTGCCATTTTCTTTTTTTTAAAAAACATTTATTTTTTTGTAGTTGTAGTTAGACTCAATATGTTTATTTTTATTTATTTATATGTGGTGCTGAGGATCGAACCCAGGGCCGCACACATGCTAGGTGAGCACTCTACTGCTGAGCCACAACCCCAGCCCTCCATTTTCAATGGTAGTAAAAATTTTTTTATTTGCATAATTTTTTGTCCACTGAGTATTTCTTCATTTTCTAAGTAAAATAGTATTTCTTCCAGTCACTCTTGGCTTCAAAAAGTATCAAAGTTGTAATTTAAAATTATTTTTTTAAAAAATATGGTTAGATAACTATAATGTATATTTCAAAAAAGCTAAAAAAAAAAAAAAAGAATTTTGAATGGTTTCACCAAAAAGAAATAATAAATGTTTGAGGAGATAATTAAATTTACCATGATTTGAACATTACACAGTGTATTTGTGTATTGAAATATCACATGGCACCGCATTATCACATGGCACCCCATAAATGCATTCAGATTTTGTGTTAATTAAATAAGAATGTGGTTATCCAGATTCAGATAATTATTAACTAATTATGGCATTATTTACAAATGTAAGAAAACTATCTTCAGGAGAAAAAAGTAGAATTTTGTGGTGATAATATGTAGAAAACTGGGAAACTTGATATAATCAACTTCTGCAGCATAATTTAAGTCTATTAATATCTTTTATCTGGAAAAAACAAACAAACCATGAATCAGTTAGCTTTTGCTGCATGACAGATGTTTCCAAAACTTTGTGGTTCAGACCAACACCTGTGTGTTATTGCACAGGAACCTACTTGTCAGCCAGTGGTTCTTCTGGTCTGGAATGCTGGTGTCTCCAGTCACCTGATGCCCACCCAGGGGCTAAATAGTCTGAGAGAGCCTCATCCATGTATCTCACAGTTCTCCTGGGCTGCAGGGCTGGCTTTGGGTTGAGCTACAGGAAGACTCATCATCTAACATCTCAAATTAATTCACATGGTGGCTTGGGGTTCCAAAAGAATGAGCTACAGTGTGTAGAGCCCCTTAAGGACAGGCTCTAAATGTCCCTAGACTGTTTCCACCTTGTTGTGTTGGCCAGAGAGGTCACAACAGGCAGTACAGGTGCAGAATGGGGATGTGCGTTCTTCACTTGACAAAACTGCAGATTAATTTTGTCATCTGCCACAGAGTGAATAGAAATCACAGATGATGGTGATCTAGGGAAAGGCTGTTTTCAGTCTTTGATCACTTATTATCAAAGTGCTATTTGGCTTGTTTGTAAATCACATCATTTTCTGGAGTAAAAAAGATTTAAAAATTTAAAATTTTGTATAGTGTTAACTCTGAAGTAATAAGAATCTTGATGTTTATCGATTTTCAGTCTAACAATTTATATTTGTAATATTTTACAAATACATTTATAACAATTTCCAAAGTGAAATTTCTACAGGAAATTCTAACTGTGGTCTTTTTCTTTTCTTTCTTGGTAACTTTATCAGGATGTGGGTGGAGGATGGCTGGAAGGAAGAAACAGCAAAGGAGAGCGAGGGCTCGTCCCCACAGACTACGTAGAAGTAAGAACTTCAAGCATCTTTTCATCATTTGTCAAAGCACAGCCAGATGACAGTAATATTTGTCAAAAAAAATCATAAAAATGCAAAAGTAATAATTATAAAAGAAATAAATGCAAATTGTATAAAATATGGAAAATACATTGAAGAGGAACTAAGAAAATATATTACCTATAGATCCAAGCTCCAAAGAGTAACTACAGACATTTAGATTAAGTTCCTTTTAGTATTTCTGAATTAAAATTCTTACTTTTCCTTTGCTAGTGTTGTGTAATAGCTGGTGCCTGAATATGTTTATTGTAGTCAATTCACAAAATTTAAACAGATTTTCTCAAAGGGCACGCCTCTCAGTTCCTTCTCCCGTTTTCTTATGCAGAAGAGTGGCTTGAGTGCCCAGCTATGAGAATTGCCTTGTGCTCTGCTGTGATAGGTCCCAAGGACAGTGTCACAACACCCTGAAGGAGGTCCCTGCTTGGGACAGACCCATCAGAGACAAAACCCTCTTCTGAGTCAACTGCCTGGCACCCCCTGCTGGTAGTCTCTAGGTGTCTCAAAGAGTAATAGGTACTTGGTGCGCTTGCCTCTTGCCTCTGGTGCTTATTAGTCAAGTTGAAGATACATCAAGAAGTGCTTCAGCCCCCTCCAGTGGAGGGCAAGAGTGCCCTGAAGGTGTTTCCCTGGGGCCCAGCTATGGAGTGGGAAGGAAGGCTGCCTGTCTGTCCTTGATTGAGAGGGAGGGCTGGGGAGTCTGAAACCTTCAGGAGAATCTCAGGAGATCTGTAGATCTTCCTTCAGATACGTACACCCACACACCCCAACCTTGTCCCCATGGTTCACAGGCCTCTGAGCTCAGTCCATGGGTATGAGATTTAATCCTGTGTTAGCTCTGTGTGCTATGTATCTGGAATCCTAAAAGTGAACAAGATTAGGAAAAGGGTTTAAGTTGATATTGGCATTTTATTTTCTAGAATTCCACTTACTTCTAGAAAGAAATAGTGTTTTCACACATTCTTGGGTTTGCTTGTTCTTTAAGAATATAGACCACCTAAGTCAAATATGAACAGATCCAACAGGCAAAAATTCAGTAAGAACCTAGTTGAACTCAACAGCACTGTCAGTCAACTGGATATAATGGATGTCTGTGGACTGCCTCATAGAACAACAACAGAATGAACTTTCACCTCAAATTCACGTGAAACATCCTCAAGACAGACCATGTTCTGAACTATAAAACATACCTCAGCATGTTTAAAAGGAGAGGCCTGGGTGTGTAGCTCAGGGGTAGTAGAATGCTTGCCTAGTGTGCACAAAGGTTCTTAGTTTGATCCCCAACACACAATTTTTTTTAATTTAAAAAAAAATTTTAAGTACATACTCCTTAAAAAAAAAGAGAGAACACATAAAATATTTGCTCTGAGACCACAGTGGAGTCAAACTCAAAATCGGTACAGAAAGATAGTTGGAAAATCCGCAAATACTGGGAATTTTTAAATACAATTCTAAATAGCATATGAATCAAAGAAGAAATAATATCAATAGAAATAACAGTTAAAGTAAAAATGAAAATGCAACTTATCAAAATTGTAGAATGCAGCAAAAGCAGTGCTTAGAGGAGAATTTTTAGCCTCAAAGAACATGAAGCCCTTTTCCAGAACAGAAGCTAACGCTTACTTGCCCTCAGAGGCTCCCACTGTGAAATGACCCTAATCTATGAAAATAATTGTGGTTTTTTTCTAATATTTAGATGTTACCTAATGATGGAAAAGATCAGTTTTCATGTGGAAATTCAGTGGCTGACCAAGCTTTCCTTGATTCCCTCTCAGCAAGTACAGCTCAAGTGAATTCGGCAGCCTCCAACAGCAGCAACCAGGTATGTTTCACATTGTCCTGCTGGTTACCATGGCTTTCCTGAAGGCAACGTGCATTGATGACAGCTTGTGCTGGGTCATAGCTATTGTCATTCCCTAATGCATATGCAGAATAACTTTTAGGTTTGTTGTGTGGCATTTCTGCTGGGTATTAACAAAGAACTCGCCTGTTAAGCCTGCTAAAAACTGTTTTCAGAATCAATGATAAAAAAAAAAAGATAGATGTCAAAAGTTGCTTTTAAAAAGTCTGTGAACACAAATCCCAAAGTTGCAAATACTCTCTGGAAAGAAGAGAAGGGTTCTGTTGTGGAGGTAGTCAGTGTCAGAGCTTGGGCAGGATCGGGGCCTGAGAACAGGGCTCCCTCTGTCAGAGTTGGAGGCCCCTCATGCTGCCCTAGAAGGTAAAAGTTCTGAGCAGATCCAGGCATTCAGCAGTTGTGCAATTATCATGTTGCTTTAAGAAGACTTAGAAGAGTTAAAATAATTTGAGAGAAATAATAGCAGAACTTTACATTTGTTTTTATTAAAATTTGACCAGTTTAGGTGAATGTGCTTAGTACATTTATATACTTAATGCTTAATCAGAATGAGTGACATGGGTATCAAAGAAGATGGGTATCAAAATGTTGTTGCCATGTACATCTTTAAGAACAAATGGGCACTAGGTTCAGTGCATGCCTGTAATCTCAGTGGCTGGGGAGGCTGAGGCACGTGGATCACAAGTTCACAGTCAGCCTCAGACTGAGCAAGGCCCCAAGCAACTCGGCAAGACCCTGTCTCTAAATAAAATATAAAAAAGAGCTGGGGATGTGGCTCAGTGGTTAAACACCTCTGGGTTCAATTCCAGTATCAAAAATGGGGGGGCTTTATGAGGTGTTATTTCTTGGTAATTTTTTTAACTACATAAAGTATTTTAAATTATGTTAAGCCTAATCCTTTTCAAGGATGTGATTTTGCTTACATGCTCTATCCTCTAAACCTTCTAAAAGTGCTATCAGAGTACTATTGCCATAGATTAACTGTAGATTCTGTACATTTAAAAATAGTTTTTATACATATCAAGAGTTACAAGTTGTCTGTCCCAGATCTTTAAAATTCAGAGGCAAACCAGGTACCATGGTGCACACTGTAACCTTAGCAGCTCAGGAGGCTGAGGAAGAAGTATTGCAAGTTCAAAGCCAGTCCCAGCAACTTAGCAAGGCTATGAGCAACTCAGCGAGACTCTTGTCTTTAAATAAAATGTAAAACAGGGTTGCAGATGTGGTTCAGTAATTAAACGCCTTAGTGTCAATACCTCGTTCCAAAAAAAAAAAGAATCGAGACAACATGATCACAGCAGTTAAACATCTTTCTACCCTTTGTTACTATAATCCTTGAACATTGGTCACTTAAAGGTTACTCACTATGACATGTAAAGAAATAGTACTTTCACCTTACCTGGTTTTCCAGGGATTCTCAAGCTGAGCACTGTTGACATTAGAGGCCTGATGCCTCCCACGGCTACCCCCTGCCCCACCCCCTCCTTTGTGCTGCAGGATGCGCACACACAGCTGTGGCAGCCACGGATGTTGCCAAGTGTCCCCTGGGAGCAGATGCAATCCATTTGAGATTCCCTGAATTATGTAAAGACATCCTCATGAAGTGGGCTTGTGTGAAAGTAAAGGGCAGCATTTTAATAAGAGGGGAACACGATGGAGTGACCATAGAGTGAATGGAGGAAGCAGCCTCTTTAATTCTGGGAACGTACCTCAGCCGTTGTCTTAGGAAAGACTAGCCAATGACACAAACTCAAAGATTCAAATCTTGTTTTGTTAAAAAGTAATATAAATTAGCAGTATTCAAGTGTAGTGATAACTGATTAGTATAAATCTTAATTTTTTTCCAGGTTATTAAGAAAATAGTAAATCCAATTTTTGAAAAACTGGATTTTATTAATCCAGTCTAACACTAAATCCTTATTTAAAATTTTTTTTTTTAGTTATAGATGGATCCAATATCTTTATTTTATTTATTTATTTTTATGTGGTGCTGAGAATCGAACCCAATGTCTCCTGCATGCAAGGCAAGTGCTCTACCACTGAGCTACAACCCCAGCCCTAAATCAAATCCTTTGAAAACAAAGAAAAGTTGAGCTACAAGTGAAAATAAAATCCAGAAAGTCTGACCATGATTAATTTATTTGAATTTAATGTAAGAACTAATAAGTTAACAGCTATCTCCAATCTCGGTTATCTGGGATATGAGAATGATTTAAATAGGCTATAAATATGGTATGTTTTTTTAAGTGCTCTGAAAGGTGTTTTGAGTGAGAAACCAGACAACCATTATTGGTTGGTAGCTTTAAATTTTTTTGCTCCCAGGTTTGCCCATTCTCTGGCCCTTGCTGTCTCCCAGGGTATGGCTTTGTTCTGAGACAAGTAATATAGGCAACTTTTTTTTTAAAATGACCTTTGACTCTGGAATGCATTTCTAAACCTGATACATGTCTAGCAGACAGAGGGAATCAGTACATTTAAGTCGAAAAGTAATATTAAACTAGGAAAAGTACTTCTAATAGGTTATACAGATGTAGGATAGTTCCATTAACATACAAAGAACCCTTGTAAATCTATAAGAAAAAAATAAACAACTCAGGAAAAAATGGGCAAAAGGTATAAAGAAATGGTTCATTGTTTAAAATATATAATATATTTTATATATGTATACATATATATAGATAAATTACATATAATATATCTAACTTGGGGAAACTGCCATTCCAAGCTTCTTCCATCAAATAGCAGAGGATGAGAACATTTCAGTAATACCTGGTGGGACAAAGGTGTGGTCAGGGAGGAGTTCTGATACCAAGCTGGTGAAGGGTAAATTGGCGAAGCTTTTTGGGGTGGTTGGTGATGTGGTCTCTGCGGTGCATTAGCTCACCCAGCAGTGCAGAGTTCATCCTGCACGTCCGCTCTCAGATCATGGGCTCTGGACAAGAAGCTTACGCTGCAGCTTTGTTTCTAATAGCAAAATGAAATGACGTGTCTGTCATCAGGGCTGGTCCAGTGAAGCACAGGATGCTATGCCATGGCTGCCATAGGAGGGATGTGGGGTTGAGATGTGTAGATGGGGTGATGCAGAACTTCTTTTTGAAAGGCACCGCAGTGTGGGTGATGTTATATTTAACATGTGTTTAAGCACACATGCACACACCCCTCCCTGCGTGAGCACAGCTCTGATTGTTGTCTTCCTGGAATACAGGTTTCGTGTGAGGTGGTTGAGGACGGCCAGCCCATGGCCTTTGGAAGGGGAGGGTCATTTCCATGGGTGATCCCAGTCTCCCTGTTCTCTGGTTTTACAGTTTCATATTAGCACTGTACCACTAGGAAAAGTCAGTAGCAGGTGGTGGTGAGTCCCAGAAACTGTTAAAAGTCACATTAATAGCTGTCCTTGTCTCTGTCACCCATTCATTGATGGACAAGTTACGTCAATTGCCTCGGTTCTAAAAAGGTTCTCACTGTACATCTTTAAAAACTCAGATCTCTGCTTCTGTTAGAATCCTTACTTTGGAGAAGTTATTGGAAAGATATTCTTGTACTTAATAACAATGGGATTAAACTTTAATTAAAAGTTTGATAAACCTGTGTGTTTTATCTGAAGGATTTGGGCTTGAGAGATTTTTCTGTTTTCTTTAAATACTAGAAAGATATGCATAATTGGAAAAACTCTGCTTCTCATTTTGTTAAAATCTTAATGACACGGAATTCCTCGAATCTCTCTCTTCCTTGGCTTCAGTTTCTCCTGGTCTCCCTTCACCCCCACCAAGGCCTGCGGGGCAGGGGAAGCTTTGGGGTCAAACCCAGGCTGATGTCTGGCTGAGGTCAGACGCCTGCTTCCTGGGGGTTGGCAGGGGAGGCCGCAGGGTAAAGGGTGGCGGATACATGGGAGATATTTCAGAAGTACTGTTCTTCCTTCCCACCTCTTCCCTTTCCAGGGGCTCCTCTGTCCTTCTTTTTTGTTCCATCCTTTCTCCTCTTATACCCTCCCTAATCATAGAGATGATTCTTTAAAAATGTCTCCCACTCTTGAGTTTCCCATTTGCCCAATTTCTAGTTTTTTGCCCAACAGTTCTTGTCTGCTAGTCTCTTCTGTATCTCAAACTCAGCTTCAAAATTGCTCATGATTTCCCCACAAAACTAGTTTCTCTTCCTGACCTTCCCTGAATGTTACTTTTTTTCTGTGCCCTCCTTTTATTCTATTTTAAAACTCCCAAGTGCTATCATAAGCCCTCATTATTGATAGGTATGTTCTCTGTTCTTTATATATGTAAGGGGAGGGGAAGGACTGAGAACCATTGCAATGCCCTAATGGAGTCTCTCTCTGAAATCATCCTCCAGAGGTAGCATAGCGTGGCATCAGGCTCCAGGCCAAATTGCCTAGGTTTTAATCCCAGATCTCATACTTTCTGTGTGACTTAGGGTAAGCTATTTAATCTCTCTGTGCCTCACTTCTACAACCTCATAGGATTATTGGAAAGAATAGTAAATGAAAAAAACGGTCCTAAAGTATTTAGAACAATAGTTGGTACTTAGTGGTGGTTTAATAATTGTTCTCTTATATACCTCTAAAACAAGCCATTAAATATGTCAGTTCTTTGCTTAAGAAACTCTAGGGACTCTATATTGGCTCCTGAACCAGCTATCTGCTATAAGTCAGAGGGCTGTCCCAGGAGGCAGTCACTACTTTGAGTAAGGCAAAGTTCCGCAAGCAGACTCTGAACACCTGCACGTGGGGAAACTGTAGAAGAAATTCATCTGAACTTATGGTTACATTTCTGAGTCCTCTGCATGGCCCCATCCATGCCCTTAGGGATGTGTCTGCTGCAGCCACACTGGCTGTGCACCCGGCCCTGGGGCTGTCCACCTGTTCTCTGCACCCTTGACTCTCCTAGGGATGGCGGCACACTCCTTCCATTTACTGTCATCCATCTACCCGTTTGAGGTTCAGCTCACACACGATG